GGCTCATCAACTGGCAACTGTCAGTAGCCTGGATATGATAAAGGTCTCCCACCCCCTTACCCCACTGCTCAGCACTTAACCACACCCGACAACTAACTGGGGAAAAATGGACCTTATGCTACAGAAGTGTCTTCAGAAATTCTTCCTAAGATGTTCATCTCAGATTAAGTTGGGGGGGGGGGGACGGACACTGTCAGACATACAGGCTTTGAAGTAATTGTGGGGTTTGGGGGGTTTGTTGTTTTTTGTTTTTGAGACAGGGTTTCTCTTATGTTACAGCTCTGTCTGTCCTGGAACTCACTCTGTAGACCAGGCTGGCCTTGAACTCTCAGAGTTTCACCTGCCTCTGCCTCCTGAGTGCTGGGACTAAAGGCGTGCGCCACCATCGCCTGGCTTGTGTTTTGTATTAGAAGCAACCCTGTGAATTTAACGTACATACTCACTGGCCAGCAAGATAGATCGGCAGGTAAAGGCAACTGCCGCCAAGCCTGGCATGGGGAAAGAGAACAGCCTCCCTCAAGCTGCCCTCCAACATGCAGTCATGAGCAGTGGCATGCACATGAACAAAAAATCCATGATTTAAGTAGACAAACTAATAAATAAAGTACACATTCCCTTAAGTATTTGTCAGACTGTATATTCTACCCCTGGCCTTGGAAAATCTTAGTCACCTCAGCAATGGGCAGCACCAGGCCCATCAGCACAGAGAGCCTTAAGATACAGATGACTAACCGTGGCTCAGATCTGATTGCAACCTACTGTGCAAACCCCACCCTCCACTTCCCCACAGAGGACCCTAACTTGCTCCTTATTCTAAGACCGCTTCATTTTCATGGTCAGAGGTTTATGGACTTCCTTCTGCCTTTTATGAATGCTACTAGGGATTCTTATTCTTCTGACCAAACAGCAGTGGTCAGACAATCAGGAAGTTCTCACAGGTCTTTCCTAAGACACTGGAAATTAATCTCACATGCAACCCTTCCTTAAACCTAACATGTGGTGGAGTCACCTCAAGAAAGAGTAGAGTGAAAGGAAAGGATCCAAGTATGGTGTGTCAGGTCAGTCCCTGTCCAGCCTCCTAAGAAGGGTGCACCCAGTCCTCATGGCACTCCCTGGGCAAATGCTTAGGAGGCGAAGGAAGGAGGAGAGGGTGCTGCTTCCCACGTGCCTCCCACATAAGAAAAGCTCTCCTAGCGCTCCAGCAACAGGTCCTCCAAAAGTTGTTTCCTTGTATCTTTATCCTCCACAGACACAAAGGATGTGGAACATTCTCTCACCCCGGTGTTCATAATGCTTTACATCATCAAAAACGAAATCACTAGCAACCATTAAAGCACCAGTGACACACAGTATCAAAGGATGCCACCCAAAGGACCTGAGAGGAACCCGTTTTTCATCTCTTGGTCCGAATAGGAATGAGGTCACACAAGAGTCACGAGGCATTAAGATGACAAGGGTAAAGCAGGATGGTGGACAATGCTAACAGTTCTGGACAGTGTCTACCAACCAGCACACGGCACCATGACCGCAGTGTTGCCAGCATGCTCCGATTCTGTGTGGAAGTCAGGCGGGGCTCACAAGGTAAGTCTTAGAATTCAGGCTGTTACTTTTTGTTTCCAGTTTAGAACATCAGCAATCTACTTTCTCTTTGGGATTCTGGGAACTCCAACCATCCCTTTTTCCCAAACTGTTTCCTATGAGCTTCTGCCAGAGAGAGGGCTGCCAGGCAGAGGGAGGCTGAGGGGCGGGGCAGAGGGAGGCTGTAGGATGAGCTTCTGGTCCTATCCCCACTCCTGCAGTTGGCTTGAGCCTTTGATGGCTGTGTGCCTCCAGAAACAAGACTGAGGCTCCAGCCACAGAGAACCCAGTCTCAGCTACTCCGGCTTTTACTCCAAGTTCTAGTATCTGAATGTCTGCTCCCCTCAGTCACTACTGCTGTCCCTTTTGTTCTTTAGCCTCTCAAGATCCGCAGATTCCCCACATTCGAATGCCCTGGTGAGGGTCTAGTGGGACCAGCTAGACCTGACAGCCATGGGACCTTCATCAAGGCTGAGAAGTGATGAGTTTGTTCTATCGCACACACAATGTATAGGATGCTCACACAGACCAAGCCCTGTTTCTAGGGCCACAGGAGATGTGATTTTTTCCTTCTGAGGCAGGGTCTCACTATGTAGCTCTGGCTGTCCTGGAACTCACTTATGTAGACCAGGCTGACCTTGAACACCCAGAGCTCTGCCTCCGCAGCTCTGAGAGCACTACCCTCTTCAGGTGTGATTCTTTTTAATGTATGAAGTAAATGAGTAAGGTGGCTGCTATTATCATCTCTGGGTTAGAAATGAGAATATGAGTGTCAGATATTTTTAAAGTGTGCTCAGAGCTGGCAACATGGCTCAGTAGGTAAAGGCACTTGCTGCCAAGCTGGCAACCTGAGTCAAGACCCCTGGGGCCATTTGCTAGAAGGAAAGAACTGGCTCCAACTGCCACATGCATGCCATGGTGTGTGTGTGCACGTGCGGGCGCACGTGTATGTAAAAAACCTGTTCAGAAAATGAAGTCATGGTGCTGGGCTGCAACTGAAGTCTCCCTACAAGCTGTCGTGCTTCCTGCACACTGTTCCACTGGGCTTGTACACTGCTCACAGCTCACTTCAGGTATGTACACAAGTCGTGTTCTAGAAATCTTCCTTTTGTCAGCCCACTGGTTGTCTAACAAAACGACCTGCTTATGCTGTGAATGGCCTCATACCACAAGACTGGTTACCATTTAATCTATACCCCATTATCCATATTTCTTGCAAGATGAATTAAAGCAGAATTTAGTCAAATCTCTTTTTTAGGCAGAAATATTTTGTCTGGGCAATGCATTTCCTTCATCCAATCATGAGTCACACAGTGTCTGGCTGTTCCACTCTCTGTGATCCTAAGATTAATCAGTGGAATCAAAGTCTAACCCTTCCATTATAATGGAATCTGGACTGTAAGTGCACAATTATCACTGTCTACAGTAAGGCTTTGGCACAAGACAGTCAGCAAACCCAGGGGGCACAGACGCAGATACACAAAGTGACCTTTCCCGAAGGGAGGAATAAACTGTGCTACACATGCCTTCAGGGAAAGGAACTGCCCGCTCACCCTACTCTTGACAGTTTTTTAATGACTAATGCTGGTATAGGCCAGAAATTCCACCACTTTGGAGTTTGAGGCAGGAGGACTGTGTAAATTTAAGGCCAGTGAAGGTTACATAGCAAGATCCTGCCCACCCTTACAAAAGAAAAAAAGTGTTAAGCAATGTCAAAAAGTTTAAGAGGGAATCAAAGCTGAAAAGATTCTAAATTCTAGTTCCAAGCTTCCTCCACATTCTCATGTAATTGCTTTTAATTTCATTTGCCCCTTTAAAAAGAGACCACGAGACCAGAAGCGGTGGTACATGCCTGTAATCCCAGGACTCAGAAGGCTAAGGCTGAGGGTCCTAAGTTTAAAGCCAGTATGAACTATCCAGCAATACATCATCAAAAAAGGGAGGAGATGGATGGATGGAGGCAAGGCTGGAGCGAGGGAAGGGAAAGAAAATGAATTATAAAGAAAAAAATTAGGGCAAAAAAGGATTGCTTATTAATTAGATTTTACACAGGACAAGGAGAAAGTACAAGAAAGAAAACCATCACAACAAGCCATACAATCTCAATGAAAACTCTGCCACTAGCTCCAGCAAATATGACAAGACATTAACTGTTCAGTTGCCTGTTTGGGGCTATTGTATGACTATCTCCACACTAGATGTGATTCCTGAGGAGAGTATCTGATTAAACAATATTTAATATGGCCCATCTTAAAACGGGCAATTTGAGGCCCACTCCTCATGGTAATGAATTTCCTAAACAAATATTAATATAAAACAGGGAAATGTGTGCATTTAATCTCTGAAGTTGTTTTTATTATGTAACAAAAACATTTAGAATATATTAAGGAATTAACCATTCTTTCCAAAATTGGATGCAACAGCTGTATAACAAGACAGCACCGTGTGAAATATTCGAAGCACAAATAACTTGATAGTACTCAGGGACCTTAGGGAGTCAGATCTCAGAACAACTTCCCTCAACTCACTGCCAAGGAAATCTTGAAATCATACTTTTGCATTTTAATAAGGGCTCTGATTTAATGACACAGCAAATTCATTTAGAAACCTAATCTGAAACCACAAAACAAGTCGTTCTTGATATTTATGTTCTAACGATACAGACACTGAGCAGTTCCCTTGCAAAGCTTCAAGGCAGCTTTTAAAACCTTTCAGGGAAGCCAGCAAGATGGCTCAATCCATAAAGGTGGTGTTTCGATCAAGTCTGAAGACCTGAGTTCAATCCTTGCGTCCCCAGGGTAGAAGGAGAGAACCAACTCCTGAAACCCTTACCTCCACAAGTATTGTACAGACACACACAGTAAACATAATAAAAGATTTTTTTAAAATTCAGAGTTCATGGTCTGAAAGAGTTAACAATCATTTACTTTGACCTTTTCAACTACTAGTGTCTCAAATTCTCAACATGACATCGTCATGATGTTGCAGAAATTGCTGACACAGGCTAGTCAACTGTGCTACGGAGTTTTTGTTGATATACAGTCACTGCAGAGCCACACCTAAGCAAAAAGAAGCAGAATCACATTTTTAAATAAAATATTAAGTAGCAGGCATTTGTCTTAAAAATTCTGCCAAGAAGGAATGCCATATTTAACTCCGGTGGGCAACAAATCAACAGGACACAGTCTGGATGGAGTTAATGAGAAAGATAACAATTACTCTCAACTTTAGAAAATATTTCAAAGAACGGAGTTTTAAGGCGTTTAATTCTTTAATTCTACAAAGAAAAGTCCACACCAAAGTCATAAAGAGAAGAATTAGGTTCAAGCACACCTTAGAGCTGAAGAAAAAAAAAGCCTTTGGAAAAACAAAACACTAGGCTCTGAAACTAAGATCTTAGCTGAGAATATTGAAGGTCTTACCTCCCATTGTAAGTGGGGCGGGATATTTCGTATCTGAAGTTTCCGAATCCTGCAGAAGAATTAAAATGTTTTAAGGAACAAAACATAAAAAAGCAAAACACACCAGTAGCCAACATGGAAGCTTAAGAAATACTTAAAACACGAATTTTAATTTAACTACACACCAAAATGTAATGAGGATGTAGCCCATGGAAAAAGCAAACTAACCCCAAGGTATGCCCTTAGACACTTGGACTTGGCACTGTTAAATGATTGATGCTTTCTAAATCACTAAGACAGACAAAAGTAAATTTGTTCTAGCCAGGCCTTGGTGGCGCACTCCTATAATCCCAGCACTCGGGAAGCAGAGACAGGCGGATCTCTGTGAGTTAAAGGCCAGTCTGGTCTACAGAGCAAGTTCCAGGACAACCTCCAAGGCTGCAGAGAAACCCTGTTTCTGTCTCGAAAACAAAACAAATCAAAAAAAGTAAATTTGTTCTAATGACTATGTGTAGCATCCAAGCCTCCTTCCCTCAACTTACGCCTCCCAGGACGCAGACAGGGCCTAAGTCCAGATGTTTTTGTTCTGAGGTCACAGCCAAGGGGCTCACAAGAGCTTCCAGGGAGCTTGCGAGTGGAGAAGAAAGGGGAGCACACCGATTTTCACTACTTCCTGACTGTAACATTCAACACACTCGGAGTTGACTTCATGAGTACTGGTAACAAGCCACAGCACCTGTGATTCTCAAATCAATAAAAAGCAGGTAGTCTCACGCCACAAAAGGTACAATGGACCTTTTAAATGTCATTTGGGTTGAGTGCTGTGAAATTTACTATGTTGCCAAAACTTGTACACACACACCAGTATGCACTCGTACACACATGCAAACACATACACTCTCGTGTAGGCCAGCCTAGAATGACCGTGAGTTCCTGAGGCCGCCACCGCCGTTACCTTTGGAGCATGGGGCGCGCAGCTGTGTGCTGCCACATCAACTTCATGCAGTGCTGGGCACTGAACCCAGGGCCTCATTCATGAGCAAAGTACTATCAGCCGAGATCCAGTCCCCAGCCCCCACAATCATATTGGAAAGCACATATTATATCATAAGTTAGCACTTTGCTAACTTTATGGGTTTGGTTTTCTTTTCTTTGCCTGAGGGACTTGCAGCAATCCTCTTACCTGAGCAGGCTTGAATGAGCATACCAGGCAGGCTTTGCTACTGTATTTTGAAATAGTTTCTTTAGCAATCCTACCCATTTAAAGACATCTTAGGACTGGGGAGATAGCTTAGTTGGTAAAGTACTTGTGCCCAAACATGAAGACTTGACCTCTACCTCCAACACCCTTTTAAGAAGCTGGGCACAAGTTGGGTGTTGGTGGCACACAACACCTTTAATCCCAGCACTTGGGAGGCAGAGGCAGGTGGATCTCTGTGAGTTCAAGGCCAGCCTGGTCTACAGAGCGAGTTCCAGGACAGCCTCCAAAACAATACAGAGAAAGCCTGTCTCAAAAAATAAAAAATAAAAAGAAGAAGCTGGGCACAATGGGTGCACACTTTCAATGTCAGCATTCAGGGGGCTGTGAGTTCAAAGCCAGCCTACACAGTGAGCTCTAGACCAGCCAGGGCTACATAGTGAGACCTTGTTTGAAACTAGAAAAAAAAAAAGAGAAAGACACTTAAGTTTGACCTCACATTCATTCACATGAATGATAATGATGACAATACCAGCACTTGGGAGGGTGAGGCAGGAAGATTACTGTGATGGAGGCCAGCCTAGCTTCAATGTAAAACTTGAACCCAAAATAAGAAGTTAGAAGGTTTCAGGCTAAGAAATCCACAGCACGGAGAACATGAGGACTTCACCTCTGAACCATCTGTGTGGCGGAGAAGGGTGGAGAAGGAGACATGACAGACTGTGTGAGTGCTCTCCAGGCACCGTATACCAGTCCGTCTCTAGCTGCTGAAGCAGCGATGCCTGGTACAGGAATGTACATCTGTAATATGCCACAGGGACACTGAAGCAGGAGGATTTTGAGGTTGGGCCAGCCTCGGTAACACAGTGACACGTGCCAGACAACAGTGAGAATAGCGTAGCAACTCAATTTGACAAATCAAGAAAGTATTTCAGGAGCTGGAGAGACCGCTCTGCAGTTAAGATCATGTACTGCTCCTTCCAGAGGACCCGAGTTTCATTCCCAGCAACTACATCAGGTGACTTATAAACCACCTGTAACTAACTATAGACCAGAGCCTCTATGGGCACCTGCATTCATATGCACATACTTACACATAATTAAAAATAATAAAAAAGAAAGTAATTCAACTGTTTAACTCACAAAAATCAGAACCGCAATGAACTTCCCTCTCCCCATCAAATAGCCTATGATTTTGAAGTTTTATAGCCTATGATGTTTGAAGTAGACCGCAGTGAGTTATTTACCTCTTTCCTTTCCCACAGAGCAGCAGAGTAAACGTCATAGCTGCTGCCTAGTCAAAGACACCAAAGGAAACATGAACTCAAATTAGACTCCCTGTTCACAATCTACATGAAGCAGGAGAAGGGAAATGCATTCAACAGTTTTTATGACATAGTAAAACAGCAAATCATCAGGGAGAGCAGACCAAAATAGTGGATATAGTACCAGTTAAGAGAAAAAAAAAATCTGAGCACCATCTAATTAGAACACACAGAGGAAACGATGCTTTGTTCAAGAATGGCATGCAGTCATGTAGTCCCAGCAGCACTCAGGGCGCTAAAACGGGAGGATCAGGGACCCGAGATTACAAAGCCAGATTCAGACTCGAAGAACAAAAATCACCACCAACATCTTCATCACAACTCATGCTCACGTTGATACTAATTTTGGATAAAAGGATTAAAAATACACCCAAGGGCTAGAAGTTGGATCAGTGAGTCAAGTGCCTGCCTCACACGCATGGAATTCAAATCCCTGAACCCACGTAATGCCAGGCACAATAGCTCATATTAGAAATCTGAGAAAGGACCTCTGACAAGACAGGAAACTCCCCATATGCTGTGGTCCAGCTAGCCTGGTTTAGACAGCAGAGAACAGAAGAAATTCTCTGTCTCAAACAAGATGGAAGGCAGGAACCAATGCCCAAAGTTGTCTTCAACCCCACGTGCACACATGCATTTGCACATATCAACAGAGTTGAGCGAGTGTACATGTGCATGCTAACATGCACACGCACACACACACACCCATAAGTTTTCTAATATATGTTTTGCATATGCTATATTTTGCTTCATTCATACTGTAAATATTTACCCTGGATAACTAAGGAGAGAATATGCAGGTGTGAACCTATTTTACTCAAGCATTTGACGGGCTTGCAGGCAGAGTGAAAAACTGTGTCTCCACCCACCCTGGACTCACTGTGGGGAGTGGACATCTCCACAAAAATTTCCCTAAAGTCAGTGTGTAAGTGTGCATATACTAACATTATAAAGCCAAATGTCCAAGAAATTCTTTAGGGTACTATCTTTGAGAAACAGCCATGTTCTCAAGAATTTTAAAAATGCACACAGCTCTCATTTACCAATTAAATGCTCCCCTGGAATAATCATTTTCTAAATAACTGTCCAGTTTCCTAATCAACCAAAGGCTCCAACCACACTCAGGTGGCAGAGAAATACAGTCTCTGCCAAGAGAGCACTTGAGAGAGGCACCCAAACTACACTGCTCATCACATGCCAACTAGTTGTGCCTCTGGCGTCTGTCTCCAGGCCACTTCTAGAATAACATCATATCTAGGTTGATTCTAAAAGTCAAGGAGTCAAGTCAATATTGATGTTTACAGATGGTTTTGGCCAGGTGTGGTGATACCCACTTGTAATCCAAGCACTCTGGAGGGCCCGGAGTTCAAGGCCAGCCTTGCCTACATTCGGAACTGGGAGATGCTTGTATGCATACAACAGCTCAGTTCCAATTTAAGTTAAATAAAGTAGTGTTCTGTTTCCTCTGACATCACATACTGTCTTAGTTAAACCAACACACACACACACACACACACACACACACACACACACACACACACACATCCCATATGTAAGATATGGGGTAACAGGGTTATCCTGGGTGCATGGAACAGTGCTTGACAACAGGTAAGTACTCAACAGGTTTAAACTTATATATTTAGTTAACAGAAGAGAAAGAAAAGTCAATGTGTCTGCAATCCCAGGCAGGAGACAAAGGCAAGAGGTATGGAAAATTTGAGGCCAGCCTGGACCACACACAGGACACTTTCCAAACCAAACTGGACTATATATTTCAAAACACCAACAGAAACTCCAAAATGGGGGGGGGAGCATAAGATTAACAGGAATTGGCATTTATGTTGCCTTTCTTAAATCTTAGAAGGAAAAAAACCATCACACTTAGTACAAGAATGAAAACTAGAAAATCATTCAACTATTAACTATACAAATTGTTAAAAACAAAGTTCAATTTTCAGCACAACCTACTTATAAATTTAAGAGATTCTCACGCGGGGAAGTGGGTTTTTAAAACACCCGCTTATATGGAGCTGGGAAGATGTGACTTGGTGCCCTCTCTTCAGGGCGCAAGGCCCTGGCTCCATCCCTCCAACTGGGGAAAGCATTCATACACTGAAATGCTTGTATGAAAATCCAACTAGTAATGCAGCTTTTCAAAAACAAGTTTAATCACAGGATAAGGAGACTCAGAAATTCTAAACAGCATCTTCAAGATCCTTAGTTAACGGATACAATTTTATGCAAATTTTCAAATTGACACCAAGTTCTTTTCCATGTGGACTCCTAGGCAGTTGGCTGTCAGAAACTCACTGGAGTGGACGATGAACACAAGCTTTGTAACCCCAAACATTCTAGGAGCAGCATATGACCACGGAAGTAGCTGCTGATGCTCCGGTGAACGTGTTGGAATTAGTGGTGGGAAAAACACACAAGGTTTTCCCATGAAGCAGGGTGTCTTGACCCATGGCATAGTGTGCCTGCTGTTGAATAAGGCACATTCTTGTTACCATCCAAGGAGAACCAGTGACAGGAAGTGCAAGTCTGCTT